GAAAGAGTGAGAGAGAGCACAAGAGAGGGAAAGTAAGAAAGCAACCCACCAGTTCCAGGACTTGAACCGTGGTCAGCCATGTGGGAATCCAACGCCCTTAACCACCACGCCACCTGCCACCTTTCATATCACTTGTTTTTTTCAGAGATGTTTTTGCTATAGGGAGTGTGCACTTGCCAGGAAGATAGAGACAGAGAGACAGCGAGAAATCACCCTCCCCCATGGGAAGTGGCCACGCCGCAGTCCCTTCTCCATCCTCCTCTCGGGGTCTTGGGCATGCACACACATGTACCCAGTGTGAGTTTGAGCCACCGGGTCTGAGACTTGAACCGCAGTTGACTACGTGAGAGTCCAGCGACATAGCCATTACGCCATCTGCTGGTCCCTCTTTCATATCACTTTTTAAAAGCATTTTTAAGGTATAATAAAACATTCTAAGGTGTATTAAATCAATTTGAGCAAAAAGATTGCTTTTAAAAGTGCGAGTTGGGCCCCTTGCTCACGGCAGAAGGGTTTGTTGGCTGACGTCGGGGTCTGATTGAGTTCTCTGCGGGCCGCTCCAGCTCCTGCCAGCGCGGTGTGCCCCTTCCCCTCAGCCAGGCTGCCCTGTGCCCCCCGCCCGTCTCCTGCTGTCTCGTTAGCAGCGCTGTCGCTGTCGCTGTCGCTGTCTGTCGTACTGGCAGGCCAGCAGGCGCTGAATAAAGGGCGCTCTCAATCAGTCACCAGAACTTTCTTTCTTTTAGCTTAGGCCCGGTGAAAAGGCTGGGGGCCATCCGGCAGGCTCGGTGGTTTTGATCCCTCCGTGACCTCATTTGCAGACTGGGGTACAGACGTCCTGCTTAGTTGAAAGGGAGAAGCGTGTGCCTTTGGTGTGTGGCGGGCCAGCGTCGCGCTCGGGCCGAGTGTGAGAGCCACCGTGTGGGCCCCACCGTGCTGTGAGAGAAACGGCGGCTCTCACAGCCATTGTAAAGGGAGAATGTCACGTATTATGCTTACAAACAAATAGCTGTGTCCCTACAGAAGGCTCCATAGTTCCGAACGCTAATTGATATTCAGCCCAGAATCCGGGCTGTAATTTCATCTTGTACAGACGCATCCTGATGCGACGCACTGACAGTCTGCTATTCTTCCTAGAATCCCAGTCTCTCTCTCCCAGCTGCCTTAGCCTCTGAAGAAAAAGGCTCCGAGGGCCACTCCAAAATTAATGGAGTCGCTTGTTCAGCCCTCCCCTGCTCGGTCGTGCTCCCACTTGGCCAGACGTGGCAGGGGGCCAGAGCTGCCGGTCTCGATGCACGTCATCTTATCCAGTCATGTATTTTTGTGCAAAAATTATAAAAATAATTCGATTAAACAAAATAAAAGCTCATTTTGGGGCACATTGCGTGTTTGTTCTTAACTTGGAGTATAAGTCAAAGAGTTCCTTCCTAGGAATGTATTTCCAGTGAACCCACCACCTGCTTTTTCTCCTTCTTTTTTAGAGGTTTTGGCCGCAGGGCGCACGTACTCGCTGGAGAGAAAGAGAGGCAGACAGAGGGAAAGTGAGATGTCACCCCTTAGGAGGGGTGGCCACGTGATTTCCAGGCCACCGTCTGGAACTCACACCGCAGTCGGCCACGTGGGAGTCCAGGAGCATAATCACTACGCCACCTGCGGCCCCCCAAGACCTGTTTCTTAAAGTCACTATTGAAGGAGACTACTCGTTCATGGAATAACATTTAGGTCTTACATGTCCTCGTGCTAAGTAATACTTACCTGGCAACAAGATAATAGGAGAAAAATGGTACATGCGGTGGCGGGGTGGCTGAGGCCCTGAACTCCCACATAGCCACCGCAGTGCGCATCCCCGACCTGGCGGTTTGCTTTCTCGCTTTTCCTCTCTCTGTCTCTCTCTGTTTGATGAGTGCATGTGCCCTGTAGAAAACTCTAATAATAATAAATGAAGTTTAATCATTCTTTTTAAAAAGAATTCTATTTATTTATTTATTTTTAATTTGATCAGAGTGGGACAGAACGAGAAAGTGAGAAAGCAAACCTCCAGGGACCAGTGGGTGGTATAATGGCTATGTCGCTGGACTCCCACATAGTCAACCGTGGTTTGAGTCCTGGACCCGGTGGCTTAAACTCACGCCGGGCACGTGTGCGTGCGTGCCCAAGATCCTGAGAGGAGAATGGAGGAGAAGGGATTGTGGCGTGGCCATCCTCCTGAGGGGGTGATTTCTCACTTTCTGTCTCTCTGTCTCTCTCTGTCTCTCTGGTGAGCACACGCGCCCTATAGCAAAAACTTCTCAAATAAATACATAAATAAAGTTAAGCTGGCCATTTTTAGAAAAAAAAAAAAAAAGAAAAGAAAAGAAAGCAAACCTCCAGATCCAGGACTCGAACCATGGTCAGCCATGTGGGTGTCCAGTGCCTTTAACCACCACGCCATCTGCTGGCCCCAAAATCTAGTAATTCTTTAAAAATGATTAAAGGCTATACCCAAAGTAGTTTCTGTAGGCTAAAAAAATGGCGTAATGTAAGTGTCGCCCTCACTAAAAATATGACTGCCTATGACCTTTTAAAATAGGAGCCGGTTTGAATTACAGAAGAAAGGACACTAGGGGAAAAAAACTGGTGGGGAAAGAGACCAGACTGTGATGAATACTAGCACCGAGTTCCCCAGCAGGCAGTTGAAAAGACAGGGTCTCAGCAACCACGTGTCTGCCTACCCCACAAGCAGAGTCCTTGTCCTCTAAGATACTTTTCTTCTTTCGCTTTATTCCTGGTAGAGCGTGCGTGCATACGTGAGGAGGCGGGGCGACCCTTCTCAGGGCCCGGTCACGCTGCCGTCGCCTTCCTCCAGCCCTCCAGCCTGTTGGGTCCTGGGCACCTGCTTGCACGTCCGGCATGTTTCCGGCCCACAGGGCTGGGGATTTGAACCTCCGCTGGCTTGTGGGGTGCAGCTTCCCTGGAGCAAACCACTGCCCAGGATGCCAGTCCCTCCCTGAGCTGTTTCTGATGTGTCTTCCTCTTCGCCCACTCCTGGCTTGGCAGTTGACCCTGTAGTCGGGTCTTTCACAAGGACAGTAGGTGTCCAGGGTAGCACAGTGATCACTGTCCCCAAGGAGCTGCCCTCTGGAGCCCTGATCTAAGAAACAAGAGGAGTGTGATTATTTTCTTCTGAATTCTTTCTTTTTGTAGTCTACCTGCCTGTGATTTTTTTTTTCTCCCCTGCTCTTTCTTTTTTTAAGAGAGATTTTTGCTACAGGGTACATTTCTCTACAGAGAGAGACAGAAAGCGAGGAGGGGTTGGCCATGCCGTTATCCCGTCTCCTCTGTCCTCCTCTCAGGATCTTGGGCATGCATGCACATATGCCCAGCGTTTTAAGCCACCAGGCCCAGGACTCGAACTGGTCAACTACATGGAAGTCCAGTGATTGAACCATTGCATCAGCTGTGCCCACCCCGCCCATTATGTTCTGAATCTTTGGTCTTCCCAGGGCAGGAGAGCTGCTCGCTGCGATCAGGGGCAGGCTGTCCCCCTAGTCCCTGTGCTTGCTTCAGACTGTGACAACAGCGGCCCGAGAACCTGCAGAACTTACATTCCCTCTGTTTGTTCGTTTAGATATATCCACGGGACCTTCTTGGTTAAATCAGGGACTTCTTTTGAACTCTACTCAGTCGATTTCAAACTCAGACCTGACCACTGGTGCCCCCACACCCCAGTCAAGGTACGTAGCGTCTTCCAGGTGAGAAGGGCAAACTCCCGGGCCTGGCTTCAAAGCCAGGGAAGGGGCGAGGCCCTGGGCCGGTCGGGCAGATCTCGGCCCTGGCACCTCCGCCCTCTGCTCTCGGCCTGTGCTTTACAGACAGGGCCGCTGCCCATCACTGAGCCTGTGTTTCTGATTGCTCGCTAGTGTCAACCCCGGGTTGTGCCTGGATGCGGAAGTGGCCTTAGCGACGGGGCAGTTTCCGGCCCCACGCAGTCACCAGTCCAGCAGTGCGGCCTCTCACTGCTCGGAGTCCCGAGGCGAGACCCCCTGCTCGTTCAACGACGATGACGAGGAAGATGACGAGGAGGACTCCTCCTCCCCAGAATAAAGACAGGAGAACCCACGTGTTACCCTCCGATGCTCATGTGTGTTTTTAGTGTGAGCTCTTGTTTCCGATTCTTGGCCTTTGTTCGCACTGTGTGTTCAGTGAGCGCTAGAGGGACGCGGGGAGGTGACGGCAAGGCTGAGCCGTGGCCAGCAGGGCTGACCTGGGTGGCCGGCGACCACCAGCAGGGCCGAGACCACGTGGCAGACGAAACCTGCTTCCAGAGGACAGAGGGGACTCGTCCCCAAGGATGGGCAGGGTGGACGGAGCTCGTTTCTCTTCCACGAGGCAGACCTTTGTCTCCCCGACACCCGTGTGATAGTTCTTAGAGCTGAGGTTGCTGTGAGGACAGCCTTGATTTATTTCTCATGTCCCCTCCTTCACCGGGGCCCCCTTTCCCGGGGCAGACATGCCCACCAAAGGGCCCCAGTGGGGGCTGTCGGTGAGGGACGCAGACAGTGATCCTCGCAGCCTAAGCGCAGAGCGAGCTGCTGAACTAGGGGGAGTCTAGTTGAGGTGCTTGACGCATCTGCTGCCTTAGACAGCTTCTAGAAAGGAGCGAGCGCTAATTCTTAAGTACTTAAGTGACACTTAGAATAATTTATAGTAAAATGGAAATTATCCTTACTAGCCAATGCCTGGGTGCATAGAATTTCCTAGGGCTCCTTCTGGAAGCCGAGATAGAATAGCGTTTCCATGTGCATTACACACTTCGCCAGCACTGCCTTCCGCCAGCATTCCCTGTCGGGGATTTTCAGAGGAGACTACAGTTGGAATCAAAGCTATGCATTCATCCAGCTTTTCCATTAGAACCCAGCCGAGGAACAAATTCCCATGACCGAGTCGCTTGCCTACCGCCCCCTGCAGTCACTGTATGGTTGATTTCTCCCGATGTGCAATTTGTGAACATGAACCAAATGTCATTATTTTTGTCTTAAAAGTCTATTTCAAGAATATGAACAGCATCGTTTTCTTGTACATGTCACCTTTCTTCACAGTTTTCATTCATCAAAGAACCCGATGGGTTTATTCCTGGGTAAATTGCATTTCAGACTCAGCCGGCAGTCAGTGTGTCACACAGACACAGAGAAACGTCGAACACGCCAGCTGCTGAGACGCCCAGCGTCGGCCGTGGTGTGAGTCCTGCACAGCCAGACGTGCTGTTAGACGGATGCGCTGGGCCCTTCACGGTCACGGCCCCTCCGAATAGAGTGTCACGGGGACGTTGCCGTGGTGGCCCAGTCCTGACTCCGTTTCACGTGAAGGTCTTGGAAAGGAACAAACAATAATGAGAGAATTAATGCTAACATTTCGACTCGAATCATACGAATCTTCCCCAAGAGGGTCCACCCAGCATCCATGGGCCCAGGACCACGCTCGGCCCAAATGGGTCTTTCTCTGAGTCCCCTGGGGAAGGACAGGACAGCCTTTACCCCGTGCCTTTCCCAGCCCTGCCACCGTGCGTACAGTGAGCTGGAGGCGAAAGCTTTGGCTGGCTTCACAGTTTTACCAGGGCCGTAAACACGGAACCGGGAACCGAGGAGGCTCCTTTAGACAAATCTGTCCTCCCGTTAGAGGCAAGCCTGTAGGTCAGGCGCTGGGCTCTTGGACAGGGCGAGGTAGAGCCGGTCTCCAGAGTTTGGAGCGCCCGTGTGGGCTGGTGACACTGCAGCAGGCCCCGTGGGCAGGCTGCAGGGACCTCTCTGCTGGGATGAACGGATTTTCTTCCCAGCTGTCCCCTCAGGGGCTCCCTCCTCCTTCTCCAGCCCCACCCAGTCTTCCAACTCTGTACTCAAAAGGGATCCAGCAGGGACTCGGACAGGCCTGGGCCACAGCCCCTTTCTAGCTTTGAAAATACTGAGCTACAGGTGGCAAGGTGCATTTCAGAATCGAAGGCAGGCACAGTCGTGGCCGTTCCTAGTCAGCAGCAAACTCGTGCTCGGGTTCTCGGAACCCATCCTCTCCTGTCTCCCCAACCGTGTTTTACGTGGGTAAAACACGAGCTTTGGGGAAGGGGCAGCCAGAGGCTGGCCCATCGCGGGGGTGCAGCCACGGGGGGGG